CTAGCTGTAACAATGAAAGGGCAACAAAAACATTCTGCAAAAACTGGTCGTAACCGTTGCTGGGTGACAAAAGAGGTTCTCTCAACTGGATGTAACAACGAGAGGGTAACAGAATCATTCTCAAACAAACTGGACCACAATGTGAAAGTGACAAAAAATAGACACCCTCTTCAAACTAACCATTACAATAATAGGAGGGTAACAAAAGACTCTCCACTGGCCAAAACAACAAAAGGCAAAACCAGACTAGTACTTGAAACTGTCACTAAAACCATGAAAAACAATTAGTTGTTTTTTTAAACAATATTTTTCTACAGCAAGCAGGTCACGACATGTCTAAATTGTATGGCACTAACAACACAATTACATCATGTAAGTGCCAGAGATTAGAATTAGAGGTGCTACAAGAAAGTAACAAACACAAAAAGAGAAGGAGTCGACAGAAGGACAATATAGATGTTTTATACAAAAGAAGGAGCAAACGACACTAGAGCACACATCAACCACCCTAAAAACCTGATTACATAACAGCTTTCAAAACATTCCAATGATTCTATCAGTATCAGACAGTATGGTTTTCAGTTCCACAAACAGACGGGTTTTCTTTGTTAGAGTTAAGAGAAGCACATCCACACAATAGTGGTCATTTAGTGCTGGGAAAAACGTAAGAAAAGACAGACAGAAACAATAGAGGGAAAGTGAAGGGGTAGGACCTTGCAGTAGCACCCTCCAACCACCCACCTAACAGACGGGGCACGGCGCACCGGCAGTGGAATTTTAGTTGCCGCGGGGGGTTCCCCGCCGGGCGCCTTATCACGTCGGTCAGATCCCTGTCGCCGCTCTGTCTGGGCCGACTTAATTTTTGGTACTTTTCAACGTACAATTTAAGGTGTATCCTTGTATTTATGGTAATTCTCATTTAGTGCACCCAAAGCACGCATTTCTGCTCTTGAGACTCAAAAAAGAACGGACGTTGTAACTTGTCTGGTTATTTCGTTAGACGCGCTGGAGTCGGCAATGCTAAATTGTAATTTTTTTGGGACTAGCGTGAATGAATAAAAATCAATATTAAAAAAACGCATCGTCAAAATCTGTCGAACTTTTGGAATATGAACGACATAACATTAGTGCAGATACTCAGAAAAGATGGTATCTGCGCTTATTTTATAAGGCTGTAATTTTGCAACTTTATCCATCGGGCACACAATTCGCTATGAAGTAATTCCTCCAAATACAACTTTATGCGTCTAATATATAATCTTGAATATTCGCATATTTTCTCGAAAGTTTATAAAAGTTATCATGAAGTTTCTCAATGAAAAGTACAAATCGATTTTAGTGCTAGAATATATCTTCAACGTAGATCTAATACACGAACAGTATCTATTACACTCCAGAAATTGCTTACTTTTCTTAAAACGCTAAGTCTAGGTTTTGTAAGTTGACTGAATAATAAGGATGACTTCTCGTAATTGGGTTATAAGAATAATTTCTAGCTTTTCAGGGACGCTGAATCAGCAGCAGACTTTTCCAGCTTTTTTTACCGTTTCTATGACCATTTGCAATAACTGACAATGTGACTGATTTCTTTACATTCATAATTGTGTCCGCGCATATTTCCTACACAAAAACTAAGAATGAATGTTTTAGCTGTCATTATTTTTATTCCATACTAGAAGTTTATCTCTACCCATGTATTTACACGGTTTTGTGGTTTTTTAAATCGCTTATATTATATATTTTTAGTTGTATGCAGGCTGCCACAGACACAGCATGATTCATGAACAAACGCAGAGTAACTTTCTCTTGTTTAATAGTAAAATAAAAGCTAACGCTGATCGTCTTTAGTTAAAATATGCAGATGTGCATCTTTCTTCTCTTATAACTTGACTATTACTACTACCGCAGATTTAAGATTTCTCATGGTAAAAGACATGATATTCGTAGTCAGTTTAACACAGAATTTGGAGAGATCTGTCGTGCCTTTTTTAAAATAACAATCATTTATTCATAACTTTGTAACTAAAATAGGACAAATTGGGTACGCAACAAACACTTGTCTAGAACAAAAACTAAGGCACAGAAACTAACCATTCTAACGCAGAATAAATCTCAAGACATTGAGCTTTCAGTACATCCGCGTAATGGTTTGCTGTGTGGGATGGGGAAGAAGTTATATCGTTTTAAACATAGTCAAAAATGCTAACTTCCCGACCGACACTGGCAAAGTCGCCCCAGGGCTCATTAACCCCGTGACCCCGAGCCGGGGAGCTCCGGCGGGCTGCTGAGTCATGCGAACTAAAAGTAACAGAATCGGGCGAAAAGTGACGCCGTGGGGGAAAGAGCTAAATGCGTAGTGCCGTGACACAATGAGACACAAGTTGCACTTTGACAATATAACACTATTGATTTCGTCCAAGGACCATATGTGGATGAGAACAAACAAGTTTTAGTCTAGCTGCTTAGCATCCAAAAATATAGTCACTTGAAGCTGGGAAATTAGAAACTTCCAGTTTTCCTCAATATCTCAAAATATCTGAGTGCGTCAAACACTCCTTGCTATGCACAACAACAGATATGCCACAAGTAAAAAGAAGCAATGACAAAGAAAAAATTCACTTTTACTGAAATTGTTTAAACATGCTCTTTGTACTTTGTACCATAGATTTTGTTATAATAAAATCAGTTGATTAAATATTTTTTTAAAGGCACAATTTATTCGGTTTTCTCTTTTTATTCAAAAATTCATCCGAAAAGGGTGCTGCTTCTTGTTGAATTTAGTGAGAAAACTTGATGAGTCTACTAAAAATTTGAGAATATGAATGAAACTAGGCAACTTAATGTGATATTCAGTGCAGAATCTAGTTCTGCTCTCAATTCTTCAATGTCTCCATTAATTTTGAACTTGGAGACTAATATTTGCTTGACATTTGTTTAACCGAGCAACTTCATTTGAACTGCCATTGATTGGGGGAGGGCACAGGCTTGTGTGGCAGGTTCAAACATTACAAAACTTCATAAGTTTTCGACACAGTGCAAAATCAACTGGATTTTACCCCACCTGTTGCACAAATATTACAATGTTGGCATTAGAAGGATCAATGCTGTGCTGAGGTCATCCCTCTCAAATTCAAGCCATACAGCTGTGGGCTATTTTTAGTCTTCCCTCTGACCCAAGCAATACTGAAGCCATTCACTCTCACATTCAGCCAGTACTACATGTTTGCAGCTGGGTTTTTTTGGGTGATATCTAAAAAAAATGTCTATACTGCTTTGGTTTGAAGTTTTAGTTAGAAGGCAACATGAAGAATATTTGTCACTCACAGCTGGATAGACTACTGCCAACATACTTAAATGTCTTTGAGGTGGACGGCCCCCTAAGGGTTAACTAAACATACGTGACGGGGCTGGGAAGGGAGAACTCGTGAGGGAATAGTACACAACTGGGGCTGTTAGGGTTAACACAAAGTATGGCCAAAAAAAAACCCCCAAAAACTTACCCTAGCTTGGACTATCTATTTTTAGGCAGCCAATCACATGACGCCAAACCCAGCTTCTAGGTTTGTCTTTTATCGACAGATAGGTGGGAATGTTGGGGATCAAGGACTGGTGATGGGTCTCATTTAAATATTGAGAAATGCCTAAGCGTCTCAAACAGCTTCTCCCAATCCAGCCAACCGTACCTGCCCGTGGTGGTCCCTGTCCTCACTGACACGGCTCTGGCGAATGGCGAGTTGTTGGCGCCAACAAACCAACCCCCCCCGTTTCCTAGAGGGGTTAAAACAACACGATGGGAGCAGGTGTGGCCCCACAAGGTGCAGGAGGCAGAACCCACCGATGCGTGGTAGACGCTATGCTCCTCACTAACACACCCCTACTCTCCCTTGAGTGGGTGTCTATTCTGCCTAACACCTCTACTACTTTCATCAACACACCCTCTGTGGCTGAGAAGGTACCAGCCAGTTTGAGAGTGACTGGGTGCAGGGGATGGACTGAGCAGAATGCCTGACTTGCTTTCTGGCCGTGAAACCTCTCAGTAAAGGCACAACGACCCAGGACGTGACGATCCAATGGCTTTTCCACTTGGCCAATACCTCATGAAAGAGTCGAAAACCTTAGCCAGTAGCCATTGGTGGCGGGGAATGGGCAACGTGAACCCTATCGGAATTACACGGTCACAGGGCAGTTAGGTCTTTCCAGTCTCATGAAAACTCCTAGTACCCTCCTATCCTCAACATGAATGGCCTCTTCTCAGGGTGGGCAGACAGTCCACAGACACCCCAGTCCACAAAGTGGGAATGTTAAGTTGGTGCGTAAGATGTACTACATACAGAGAATCTTTAAAAACCAGAAAACACAACCATTGCAATTTCTCAGAATGCAAGAGTCTATCTATACTGTACGCTTGCACATAGTAAGTTTGACCTATCTTCCAATTGGTTGCCAAGTTCCATTTACATTCGTTCCAGATAATCCCATCTATACTCAGAGCACAACTAACTCCGATCCCGAATGGTCCAAAAATTACAACCTCAGCACTGTTAAAATTTTCAGCCAGACACACAACAAGCATTTACATCGCTAGAGAAAGGCATGGACAAACAAACACAACACTTCTCCAGGAAACTGTTGCAAACACTTCTGACCTTCAATTCTCAATTTTTAAAAGTGAATACGCACAGTTGGATTTGCCGTCTGTGCAATGATCCTGTTTTTCAATATTCAAATTTTTCAGCCTCCCAAACCCATCCTGAGACTTAGCACTGAATCTCACACTAATAAGTGGTACCCCCCCCCCCCCCCCCACAAAAAAAAAATCACGCATACACACACGCCATGAGTGTCAAACTATAACATCGGAAATAAGATACAAAAAGAAACAAAAAGGCAAAATGAAATAGTTGCGTTACAATACACAGAGAACCAGAACATTTTCCTGGCTGCAAACCTAGGAACAAACACACACACACAGAGAAGCCCCTGGCATGAGCCTCACTCACCTCCGATCTGGCCGGCAGCAGTAACAGGAGTGGGTGACGTGTGCCCAGGCAGAGTCGTCATTCGCCCTTGTTCTTTCACAATGGGGTCTGAGAAACAGGAAAATCCACTTCACATTCTGATACCCTTCGTGCGTATGGTCACAACATATATGAGAAAAGGCATTTGTTTGTTAGAGGAAAGAAGTACATGTACACAAAAACAGCCACTTGGATTGAGAACAGAGAAGTGCATCCACACAATAACGGTCATCTGAGGCCAAAAAAAAGTAAGACAAGACAGACAGACAAAAAAAAAAAAAAAAAAAAAAAGGAAGAAGAATAGTGACCTACTTGAGACAATGTGAAGCTCTCCAACCAGACCCCACTAAAACATGCACTTGAGGACTCAAAATGTACAGATATTGTCAAATATATCTTATCATTTTAGGTCACGGCTATTTTTTTAAAGTTTTGGTAGAGGTTTTACGGCGCTCGCAACTGCATAAGGTCATATGAGCATCAGAAGATTAGAGGTGTTACAAGAGAGTAACAAACATAAAAAAGAAGACGGGGAGATAAGGACGATAGATGTTCCATAGGAAAGAAGAAGCAAACCACACCAGAGCACCTACCAACCACCCACGGCTATTTATATACTTCTCAGCCATCAGCCTGCTGAATCCAGACCTACATTTATAGAAAATCAACATCTGCATAAAAAGATATCATAATCCACTGCCCACATGAATATTACAATACAGGGCTCCCCATTACGCACAAATGTGCGTATATTACGCACTAAACCCGCAGATTATCCCCTTAAAGTTTTGGTGGTGTGTGAGCATTACTCTTTAAAATTTTGTTTCGGGAGTTTGCATATGCTTTAAAACAAGTGGTGTGCGTGTGGCAAGCATCATTTCTCCCCTTCTCCGTCCCGAAGCCGAGTCAATGATTTGACAACACACCCACACACATACATGGCACAGCAGTCACCTTATTTGGTGATTTTGTGACAGTGTCAGAAGCTGTCGACCTACTTAGCTGCGCAGGTCTGCCCCCGTCCTTCTCCAACACTAGTAAATATGAATTGTCCGCTACTATTTAAAAAATAAAAATCGAAAGTTTGGAAAGTGGGATGGCTCTGAAGAATAATGAATCAGTTTATTTTCTTTGTGTATTAGTCGGAATTGACCCCTTTCGGTTTGTCAATTTAATTCGATCCTCGCCGTAAAACCTTATACTATACATACATACATAACTACCACCATCCTTTCCCACCTCCAAGTGAATACAACTCTAATACTAGTCAATCTTACTCATTTATTTATTTTCTTTTTTTTCTTTTGGTAAGTGTTTTACAGCGCTCGCAACTGCATAAGGTCATATGAGCACGCGGGACACACCTAATATTTTCAGTTGGTAGGAAATTTTGAATTTTGCGCGGGTGGTGGCTGAAGCCTACGCTTATCGATTTTAGACCACCAAGGGATCTTTAACGTGCGCAACTTGCACACGGGCCCTCCGAGATTTTTCGCCCTTGTCCGAGAAGGCTAGGTGTAGATCTTTCCTACCAGAAGATCAGGGGTGTGGCAGAAAGACAGCAGTAAGGAGGAGCCAAGGAGTAGCAGTAGAAAGGCTGCAGAAAGAGTCAGGAGCCCAGAGGAGGGGGCAAAGTGTGTGAGGGGGTGGGGGCAGAAAGGGGAAACGAAAGCAGACGACAGAATATTGCTAGAGAGCAGGAAAGGGGGTGAAAGAAGACAATTTTAGAGAAGAAAATTTTTCGGTCGCTACCCGGATTCGAACCCGGGACCTTTGAATGAGAGGCCAACACCTTAACCTGTAGGCCACGAGAGCCCCCCTATTTATTTCTTGTTGTTACATTGAAACCTTACAGTTAATAAAAAATTGTTAGCATTCAGTCATAGCCGTGGTTACTCTGTATTTGTGTGAACGTGCGTGTGAGTACATGTTTACATGCAAAAATTCTTACTATGAAATTAGAAGATATTGACTTTTGAGCATTAATTTGTCAGACATATAAACCAAAAAAAAACCCAACTACCCTTTAAGCTTCTAAAACAAGGGTTTAAAAACCAATGGGCAGAGATGCCAACCACAGAAAACCGATATGAGTATTGGGAAATATGAAAATGTGTATTTTCAGGGGAAAATGTGTATTCCCCACGACCGACCAACTAGTAATAGTAAAATGTTCAGGGTGTCCAGCAATATTTCCTGGAAAAAAATTACTAGCTCACCAGCTTGAAAAAGGGAGCACACACGCGTACAATATACATGTATCCAGTCAACAACATGTTAGTGTTCAATGTCGTACTGGGGTCTTGTTTGACTTAAATATTTCAGTCTATTATATACCCGTAATATTTTCCTCTCATTATTATATAAAAAATAAATCATTTTTTGAGAGTTCGGAAGGGCCTTGAACAAGAATTTCGACTATCAAGAACCAGTCTGGGTGACCATGATTCATAATATGAACTGACAGACTCAAATTAATGCTCCAACTCAGAGAAAAGTAATAACTTGAATGACTCAAGTAGACCCATGCACTGTAAGAGTTGTAACAACTGTGGGAGGGCAAGATGCAGTGACACTGAAAATCTGCCAGTCTTGAACAGAAAGCTACAACATACCCTGTAGGTATAATTTACTATCACCCATCCAATGAAACGCGAACACTTTATTTCAATAACACAGATTTGCAAAGTATGAAGGGTCCCGATTCCGCACACGGCCTGCACCAACGCGCGCTTATGCAGAAAGCTCTAATCAAAATTCTGAAATGTGCTTCCCAAGTTTTTGTCCTCTGGTGCTGCCTTTACCCATAGCATCTTAAACCCCCAAAAATCAATAATCTCCTCCCCTATTCCGTAGTCCTATACTTCGCAACGCCGTTACTCCGACGAAAGACGGTCTTTACTCACACGATGCATTTATTTATGATGCGAATGCGCGCAGGTTCAGTGACCGGTCACGATAGCCAGCCAGCCAATCTAAAAATCGGACAATGCTTCAAGTGACAGCACAGAGACGAGTCCGAGCATTGATTAAATCTTATTTGCACAGCGACATTGCGTTTATATTGCACAACCTGCATGTCACAAACTTACTGACCTTATCGGACTTGGTTTTCAAATATTCCAGTTCTGCGATAGGCCTACTGAAACTACTTTGACAAAAGATGGGACTTGAGACTTGGGACTCTCCCAAGTTGAATTTCGTATTTTTCGCATTCCAGGATGCGTATTTTTTCATGAAAAATCGTATTCGCGTATTTTTGGAAAAAATCGTACTAAAATACATAAAATCGTACTGGTTGGCATCTCTGAAAAGGTGAAGGAACCTCTTAAATTGGCCTGAAAAGGGGAGCCCTGCCTTGGCTTTGTCACGTGCTAGCAACAGTAGAATAACAAAACTTAAAATCAATGACAGAAAAACAGAAAACTAATTTCCCGCTGCCCTGTAAAAGTGAAAATAAAAAAGCGGAGGTAACAAAATATAGATTGTTAAGCACACACAACATACTGTTGAGCCGGGTCATGCGCTATAAACATGCTATTAATTAATATTAATATTCCCCTATTTCAACTTGCCAAATCTATTAACAGAGTACATTTTGTATTGATGTAGACTGTCGGGGGCGGATTGTTTTTTCTTCCTTTTATTTCAAGAGGATGGGATTGGGTTAGGGTTGCCAAACTGCACATACATTTTGAAAAATCGGAATCAAGGGTGCTACAAAAGTATTTTCGTAAAACTAAGGAAAAATTGTGACAATTCCGCCAAATTCGTAATGGTGCTTGACACGATGGTCCTGTTAAACCTGCATGTGAGCCTCAGCCAGATTATCTCAATATTTTGCGCACACCACAATCCCCTCCCCCCAATCCATTCTCCCATAAAAGTTTTGTGGGTGTCATAAAATAGCATTTGTAGAGGTACATGATGGGAGGCATCAGCCCCCAAAAAAGAACCTGCAATGGCCCTTCAGAAAAGTAAAAAAGCCAGCAAGTCGAAACCCCAGAACAAACAAGGAGCATAATGGCCTACATAGTTATAATAGGATTCGATACAATAACACAATAGAATTGGAATATGAATCCTACATAGAGTAATCTAGATAAATCTAGATCTAGTAGAACGAGTGAATAGGAATAGGCTGAGTCAGCTGAGTCTAATAATTTACGCACCAGATGAAATGCACTTTTACAACCAACATTAACACTACAACACAACCTATACTAGGGTTTGACACAATAGAATTGGAATTTGAATGCTCTATTGAGGTCTATAATGATCTTAATAAATCTAGATCTAGTAGAACAAGTGAGTAGGCCTTGAATTAAACCACATCCGAACAATCGGCCAACAGACGAAATTCAAAATGGCAGCCCGAGCACGAAACTGAAAGAAGATCTAGAATCTAATTAACGTCATCGTCCTTTCCGTATTTGTATTTCTACTCAGGTTCCGACAATCATGTCGGAAGCGCCAACGTTCGCAGTTGGCACGAAAACGAAAGTGCAGACAAAGCCGATCTGAGAAATAAAATAGGGGGCACTGGTGGCTGGTCAGGCTTCGCTCTTCGCACAATTACTAATACAGGTGGGCCTAGCGATAACATCGGCCGGGTCGCGATTGTCGGATTTCAGACGATTATCGGCAAACATGCAGGTCTATAGTCCTGCACAAATGAAGATAAACAGTGTTGATGAGATGATACGTGTTTTTGAAAGCATTTATGGTCTGTCATTCACAGTGTCTACAAAACAGTATTGAATGTGTAGACCTGCATGTGAGCCTCAACCAGATTGTCTGAAAATTTTGCGCAACCCCCCCCCCCCCCCCCCCCCCCCAAGCCTTTGTGGGTGTCATAAGGAAGGACATCCGAGTGACCACCCCAACAAACACAATAAAAAAGAGACCTAACCCTAACCCCAAAAAGAACCTGCAACGGGCCTCATGTAAAAAGGCCAAAACAATTCCTAAATGAAAAAAAAAAATTTTTTATTAAAAAACCACACTCTGAAACAAACAAGGAGCATAGATCTAGATTTAGATCTATATCTTAGATCTAAATAAATAAATAATTCACGCACCTGATGAAATGCTTATTTTTACCAATATTAATATTACAGCACAACCTATGATAAGGTTTGACACAATAGAATTGGAATATGAATCCTCCATTGAGGTCTAAAATGATCTATAAAAATCTAGATCTAGACTCTAGATCTAGATTCTATTAGAACAAGAGAGTCGGACTTGAATGAATCCACACGATCTGAACAATTGAATTAGTCAACAAACGAAATTCAAAATGGCCGCTCGAGCACAAAACTGAAAGTAGATAATTTAAGTTGTCGTCCTTTTTCATATTCGCATTTCTACTCAGGTTCCGACAATTATGTCGGAAACGCCGACGTCGGCAGTCGGCGGTGCGCGCGTCGGCACGAAAACGAAAGTGCCGACGAAGCAGACGGGAGAAAAAGGGGTCGCTGGCAGTCGGCCAAGCCTCGCACTACGCACATTGACTGATACAGGCGGGCCTAGCGATAGCATCGGCCGGTTTGCGGGTCGGGTCGCGATTGTCGGATTTCAGACGATTGTCGGCAAACATGCAGCTCTAAATGTGAATTTGAAAGCAGGGTGACAGCGAAACTGACTTCCAAAACCCATACCAATAAAAACTATATTTATTAAAAACTATTTTCTGACAATAGCATACCTATCTACAGGCACTGATGTGTCCTGCATGACTTTAGTAAGTCTAATTTAACTAGTTTTCCTCCGACCATAAAAAAATTAATCCTGATCTGGGCCTGTGGAAAGGCTAGATTACCAACTGTCAAAACCACGTCTGGGTTTCAGCATTCATGCAAGATACAAATTATCAAGGGAAAAACATAGTTGGGCTCAAAGCAGAGCAAAAATCTCCGGAAGAAATGGAAATTTTGAGCTTTATGAGTGTTGAAAATGGCATTTTCCATTGCCCCTATTCAATTTGCCATCGAACCATTGACAGTAGACTATGCAAATCAGGGAACATCTATCTCGAGGACACAACAAGTCTGTTCTCTAATTTTCCTCCATTTATGCATTCAAATGCCTAATGTTACAACCTCAGAGCACCACTTCTACTTGTCTTTTATATGAGGATTAGTATCTTGCACCGCAATCTTATCCTGCAGCGGTAGAATCCTCATACTGACAAATTTTCTATATCTTGACAGATTTGAAAAATTTCTTTATGATACTGATTTTCTTTGTACAGTCGCCATTCAGATTCCTTGATCAACGCACAGATTTCCCAGCCACAAACCAAATCCCGAAAATAGACAGAGAGAATGTGTGAAAGAAAGGAAAAAGGAAGATAAGCTATCCTAACTAGCCAGTTTTTAGCCGATTTGCAAGCGAAAATGCTTTGATGACCGACCTGCCAGATTCAGAGAGGGACAATGGTCGAGGGTACGAAATGAAAAAAAAGCGCAATCTGGAAGGTTTCTACTACAATTTATTGCTGAGAATTACTATAAATATCTGAGAAGTTAGGGAGGAAAGTTCGGATTCTTTGACACGGAAGACCGATAAGCAAAAACTATCTCTTTATCTCTCTCTCTCTTTTTTCTTCTACATGTGCAGTTGATATACTGATTAGCAATGACAACGAAAAATTAGATTTTTCATCCAAATTGCTTAAAAATGGGCTTAAATGAAAATACAGTAAACTAAAAACTATTGTTTTTTAAATTGTAAAATCCATTGATAAATTTAAAAAGTTATTGGGATTTTTGTTTGCAAAATTTTGGAGGACCTTCATATACGAAAATATCGCCAAAATGTGGGACATGTCTTGAAGTATTTTGAGGAAAAACTGTTCATAAATTAGTAAGAATTGGAGCATATGAATGAAACTTAGCATCTTCATGTGATTTTGGAATGCTTGATCTAGTTTCCAGCTCTTGTGTTTTATCAATGGATGGGTGGTAATTTGAAGTTGGCGCATAAAATGTACTAAACGCAAAGACCTGAAATTTTACAGCATTAAAGAAGACATGTGGGGCGTCAGTCTGGTCAGCGATCAACCCACAGCTCCGCTTAGTTTTTGAACCGCAGAGGAAATTCGCACAAACACGGCAATATCTCCTGTTCTAGAAATTGTTCGAGATTGTACGCTGGCATGTCGTTAGTTTAACATTTCCTCTGATTGGTTGCCGAGTTTCATTAATTCTCGTCAACAACTTTGCCCGTAACTATACTTAGAAGAGAGTCACTTCTGATTCCGAGCGGCCCAAAAATTACCCCTCGTGCTGAGGCCGATTTCTGGCCCACGGCGCAACGGGCGACTGGCATTGCTATACTGATGTGGCAAGCGTGGATTTTTCGGAATGTACAGGTTTCCGAAAAAACAGGGAAGATTGGAAGCACCACAGAGCGGACCCCATCTCAAATCCTGTAGTTTTGACACCTTTATCGGCATGGCCGTAGAACAGATCCATAATCAGCAACTACCGGAAAAATCTGTAGATTTATGCAGCCCTGCAAATTCAAAAGAAAAAGACGAACAAGCAAATTTCATTGTAGATCATTATAAACAAAGCCAAACAAATTATCAATGGGCATCACAGAAAGTCTTACAGAAGTATGGATGGTCCATGGCATCGCGAGCAGTTAGGCGATCGTTATGGTCGTAACGAAGAAGTTTATCCAAAAAGTCTAAAGCTTCCGGACTGACCAGGTGCTGGTTTTCACTGTGCACAAATCTCTCCCATCGTTTTCGAGAATGCCTGAAATGCCAGAAGTTATACACAGTCAAAACATTTCATAATACATTATTGGGGGTACACTTATTGGGTAAATAACTTCCTTTTGATGACTGACTTAAAACCCATTCTAAAGCTCTCAATAATACCATACACCTGCAAGCAAATGACATTTTGTTACACCATTACTCCCACTGTGTTCTTAGACCCGCACAGCTGACATCATAACAGGGTGTCCAGCAATATTTGCTATAAATTTACTACCCAGCAAATTAAGCCCCACACCATCAATATTATAATAATATTACATGTGTATGGAACAACGAAAATAACATACAAAAAAAGTCCAGTCCACAAGGTGGAGGATAGACACCGACGATAGCGCGCTCGTTTGCTGCTAGATTTAGAACTAATGCGTGCACACGGGGTGACTGCCAAACCAGCTTCTCAGTCTTCCAGGGGCATGTTACAGAACAAACAACAACACACACATACGCGAACAATATATCCAGTCAACAGCGCGTCAGTGTCGCACTGGAGTCTTGTTTGACCTAAGTATTTAAGTCTGTTGTACTTTCCTCTCATTATTATATAAAACAATGAATCCTTCTTTGAGCGTGCGGAAGGGTCTAGAACCAGAATATCAACTGTCAAGGACCAGTCTGGGTGTCACGATTCATATTATGAACATGAAAGACACAAATTATTGCTCAAGCACAAGTAGAGCAATAATTTGAATGGCTCAAGCATACCCATGCAGTGAGAGAGTTGTAACAACTGAGGCTGAGGGAGGAAGGCAAGATGCAGTCAGACCTGCATGTGAGCTTCAACTAGATTGTCTGAAAATTTTGGGCACCCCCCCCCCCACCATAAGAGCTTTTGCGGGTGTCATAAACATAAAAGGAAGGACTTCCGAGTAACGAGCCACCACCCCAACAAACACAATGAAGAAGAGACCTAACCCTAACCCAAACCCTACCCCTAGGCCTACCCCAAAAAAGAACCTGCAACGGCCCTCAAGTAAAAAAAGGTCGGCACAAGTCTAAAATGGAAAAAAAAAACACACTCCAAAAGAAAACAAGGAGCACAATAGATAATAATAATGCTTTTTCGGTAGTCCTCCCCCCCCCCCCCCCCTCATTTGAGCCTGACCTACATCGAGATCTATACGTTTGATGTGCGGCGAGCTAAGATATCAAACCTAACAAATGCAAAACATCAAATTATGGTAAAATTCAGGGGGGTATGCCCCCTTGAAACCTCCCACCATATTTTTATTAGGTCACCTAAAACCCCCCTACTCTTGAGGCCAAAACCGGCGAATAACAATTGCGGGGTGGGAACTACCGGAAAAGCACCCAAATAAGGGAAGTGGGAACTACCGAAAAAGCGCCATAATAATGGCCTACATTGCTATAGACATCTTCATCTACATAGGGTTTGATACAATAACACAATAGTATTGGAATATGAATCCTCCATATAGATCTAGTAATCTAAATAATTATCTTGATCTAGATTTAGGTCGTCGTCTTTTTTCGTATTCGTAGTTCTACCCAGGTTCCGACAATTACGTCGGAAACGCCGACGTCGGCACTAAATTGAAAGTGATGAAAAAGCCAACAGGAGAAAAAGGGGGCGCTGGCAGTCGGCCAGGCCTCGCATTTTGCACATTGACTATACAGGTGGGCCGAGCGATAGCATCGGCCAGCTCGCGGGTTGGGTCGTGGTTTGTCGGATTTCCCACGATTGTCGGCAAACATGCAGGTCTATACAGTGACACTGAAAATCTGCCAATCTTGAACAGAAAGCTACAATATAGTCATAATTTACCATCCCCTGTCCAATGAAACATGTACACTTTAGTTCAATAACAAGGCTACAAGGTATGAAAGATCCCGAATCCACAAACGGCCTGCACCAACGTGTGCTTTGCAGAGAACTCTAAATCTACCTCTGGTGTTGCCTTCAGCACCACTCCTGCCGCCATAGCCGCCTGTTCATGTGAAACGTACTCTCGGATCGGTAAAAGCTGAACGAATAATAACAAAAAAGATGGGACTTGGTAATCGCTGAGTACCGCGCCGTCACTCAGTTCACTAAAAAGTCTTGCCGGGTTCATTACTCTGTACGCAGGCTTAATTTACTATTGTTTACTACCGTCACGGCATATTTACTACCATTTACGACCTTTACAACCAGGGTGCTGAATTTACGACTTCACAACCTTGCTGGACACCCTGATATAAGTATTTAAAAAAAATAAACTGTAAAACATTGTGGTGACCAACTAGCTCGCCCAACTGACAGTGACTATGACGAAAACTTCATTAATTCTGTATTTTATTGAGCCTCTCCGCAGCCTGGGTTGGACCTAATAGTAGAGATGGGCCCCGGTAGCGGAACTCCCAGTTCTACCGAAGGAGGTGTCAGTACCTGCACCAGGCCTCCCGTACGGGCTCTGGGAAGGAACCGACACCAACAGGTTTTTTTTAGCAGGCCACGGGAAGCGTGCAGTGTGTAGGCCTTGGCCTAGCAGCTGTGACATCAGACGCAAAACGCAGCGGGTGACCTTGACACATGACTTCAGATTCAAAATTGACAATCAAAAACGAAGTTTGCTCAAATTTTTAAAAGGCATCAAATCAGGTTCCTCATGCTCTACTTCGCTTATTTTGATACGCTGATTCTGAAAATAAAATCAATTTTTAGCTTTGATAATTATTCGAAAAATTTTGAATGCAAAGTTCAATCGGTGGCAAACTTCAAAGGTAATTCTGATAGCTGTGTGTTTGGGGGAGGGGGGGGGGGGGTGTGCGGGCGGCGCTGATTGTGGTGTTAAACCGCAAAGTTTGTGACGTCACCTCCTGGTGTCAGTACCGGTACCTGCGATGCTGAGAAAGTACCGCAGGCAGTGTCGTAAGCCCTCCACCTAAATGATATAAACGGGTTGATGAGGGTGTAAAAACACCTATTGTATGAAAACATTTTTTTATCTTGGCCCAAGAGCGGGATTTGAAAAGCTACAAGGACTGAAGTATATGCCGATAGCCCACATTCAAAATAAAATTGAGGCTTAATTATGCTCTTCAGATCTTTCTTCTAAATTCTGATAAGCATTTTTGAAAAGGAAAAATTCACACAGGCCCTCAATTCTGGAAACCTGCAAAAAGCTGCAAGTCATAGAAGTATGACGTGCTTCAGCTTTTTCTAACAGACTTGACCAAAAACATGGAACAATGTAACATGCAGAGACCAATTTGAGCACACAACGAGAGAGGTACAGCCACTTACCTCCCTAAAATGTCATTGAAGCGTGGGTCCAGGTCAATCTGATATTTTTCTATGTAGCTGTACAGATCATCAGTGCCCAACACCTTGGCTATTCTCACCAGCTGAGGAAATATAAATAAGCACGCATGTACAACGACAAAAAGAAACATGCAAAAGTTTTTAAATTTAAATAAACTTTTTTTTTTAATTTTTTAAAATTACACCTGTATGTTATGCTTGAAGCTGACTTTCAAAAGGTAAAATAGATGCGAGGGGAAAAAAAATCACTTTGTCTATTCTTCATACAACAGAGGAAAACAAACTGGAGATGTAAGGAAAGCTGACCACTTTTTTCGATTCATTCACAAAAGAGAAAAACAGGGAGGGGACCACTTTTCCTATTCTTTCAATATGTCAACTTATTTAAAAGGGGGTAAAAGGGACTACATCACTTACTATTTTAAGGGAACAAGTAAGCGTACTGACCAAAAAAACACCAAAAAACCCAACCACAACAAAACAAAAAACAGCAACAGCAAAACGCACACAAACAGGATGAGAACCAGTACCTGATCATAGTTGTCGTGACCGTGAAAGAAAGGCTCTTTCCTGAAGATCATACTGGCAAACATGCAGCCCAAGCTCCACATGTCTAACGAGTAGTCATACATCTGAGGAACAAGAAGACTCTAGAACATTCCTTCCTTCAACAAGAATGTACATTGTAAGTTTTGCTCATCCATTAACACACAAGGGGATCGTCTGCTTTGGCCATGCCAGCCAGAGCCAACACAAGACTGTTTTAGTTTCGATAACATTTTTACAGCACTTGCAACACAAATAGATCAACGTTTAGAGGAGTTACTAAAAAGTAAAATACGAATGAAATTTTTTTTTTTTTTAAAAGACAGATAAGGGTGATAGATGTTTAGAAGGAAAGAAAGAGCAAACCACAACAGAGCACCCACAAACTCAAATGAAAAGGAAAACGTATCAGGTTATGAGGAAGTCTGTAGGAACTCATGAGTCCTACAACCCCCCTCCCAATATTCATTAGTACAACAAGAAAATGACACTAGCAATAGAACTGTTAAACAGTTGATCATGGTTTCAAGAAACATAGAAACCTATCCACATCATTACGATCATTTAGTGTAAGGATAAAGCAAGATAGGCAAAACAGGACAACAACAACAACCAGAACAGAATGTTACGAAGTAGTACCTACCAGTGGCACCTCCTCCCACCAACAACTAGTAAGACACTTACCTGGTAATCTAACAAAAGCTCTGGACCTTTGAAGTATCTCGAGGCCACACGAACATTGTACTCCATGCCTGGGTGATAAAACTCTGCCAGACCCCAATCTATGAGACGCAGCTATAAATGAAGACGGAAAAAGAGATGACAAATGTAGTTGACAGATCTCAGTGAGCATTTTGAACCACATACCTCAATACATCCCCCCCCCCCCCCCCCCCCAATTTTTTATCATATCCCAAGAACAGTGTACCTCACTTTCAATAATTTCATACTTTTTCAATTTCAATTAACCTGATCTAATATGTTCTAGTTTTGATGATAGCAAGGCCTGTCAAAGATGAACACTTCAGTTTCCACAATTCTACAGTGACGTCTGTCTTAACCCTGTAAGGTTCACACATATATATACTTCTATTCTCTATCCAATATCCAACCTGCAGGACCAACTTATACCGGATAATGCAGAAATCAACAGGCAGTGTGAGGGGTAAGCGTTTAATGACAGGCCATAAAAATAGACACAACTATAACATGTTTCTATTTTTATCACTTTATTGTAGTCAGCCAGCCACCCAACCAACCAAACACATTAGCAATGACCACGAAAAACCTTTTTTTGCCAGAAAGTGTTTGCAAATAGGTGCATTTTGTAGCTCTTTCTCCACAGAGCATGGAACTTTTTGAATTTTTGAAATCCATCAATAAACAAAGAAGTTACGAATTTTCTAATCAATTAATTTTTGGTACACTTTTATATAATTAAAAAACCCCAAAATATGGGACGTTGTTTGATGAGTTTTGAGACAATATTCGTCATAACTCGCTCATTTCTCGGAGTATTTAAATGAAACTTGGCAACCCAGTACATTTTCTAGTGCAGAATCTAGTCCTGCTTTCAGACTTTTCATAGCTATCCTACTTTTTGAGTTAAGACGTTTATAGGTAAAAATGTGGCGGTTTTCGGTGCGTTTTGAGACAATATTTGTATAGGCTCGCCTATTTCTTGGAGTATGTAAATGAAACTTGGCAGTCTACTACAGTTTTTGATGCAGAATCTAGTCATGCTGTCAGATTTTTTATATCTATCATACTTTTTGAGTTGTAAAGACATTAACAGGTAAAAAAGAGGCGTTCTTTACAGATTTACAAAGATTATCAGTCATATCTTCTCCCAAAGTCATGATATTTGAATGAAACTTGGCAACATAAAAGGTTCCTCCTTGCCAAGCAATGCTTTGGATCAATTTATCACAAAAATGTACGTAGAGAACCGGATTTATTAGTCTAATAAATCCAGTTCTCTACTAGTAAAAGCATGCATACTTTGTTATAGAAAATAAGATCGTCTCTGTGTATATCCATTGTTGGACAGTGTCCTATTGTGTGGTAGATTAAGATGCGTTTAGATAATATAGTTTACAAGTCATGGAAATATTTCGCATGTGTAGGCTACAACTCATACTATAAATGTAACATATTTACACCCCCCCCCCCCCCCTTCTCTCTCTCTCTCTCACGCACACACACATGCACGCGCGCGCACTCACGCACACATGTGGGAACGATGTTACAACAGGGTGGCCAGGGAAATTTTCCTCCTAAAAATCCTACCACACCAAAAAAAATCCTACCACTATAAGTCAAACTGTTTCTTGCAATTGTCAGTGTTACGGCTCTCGTCAAAGAGAATCACGTAGAAGGAGCTATTTCGTACACATCTTAGGATAGCCGACTACATCACTGGGGCAATCCCAATTAATATTCCAAGGTAGCCACGTTTTGTGCAACTACACTGAAATCTCAGCTATTTTTCAGCCTGAAAACATCTCATGAATGAGAAGACCGTGTCAACAACTGCTCTAGTTGATTACTATTATATTACTGTTGGTGCTCTCCTTTCAGTATCTCTCACAACACTTGTTCTGTTCTTGGTAACCGTAAGAATAGATTTGGCACCACACTGGCTGGTTTGGGCTTTCGTGTGTTTTTGAGGTACCATGTGCGTGCTCAAAGCTTTTACACATGAATGACCGATGACAAATACTTGGGAACAAAATTTTCATCTAAACTTGCTTTTATCATTTGGATACTCCATCAATCATTCTGAATACTTAGGGTTGGACAACCACTCAGTGTTGATGAAGTAGAACTTTCCCACGATGCTGGATCTAGTCTAGATCTCTCTCTCTAATTATAGTCTACACATATATAGTCACAAAAATCATAAGAAAAATAAGTCTGTTTCTAACCTGGGTTTCAGTATGCCAAGTGCCGTCAATCTTCTACTCTCCAAAGACTATCTTGCTGAGTTTTTCCATGGTCAAACGACTATCACCCATCCAATGACACGCCAACCCTTTAGTTCAATAACACAACTTACAGGGTATGACGGATCCCGATTCCCCAGAAGTCCTGCACAACACGCGCTATGCTATGCAGAAAGCTCTCGTTGCAATTAAAATTCTAAATGCTAAATGCTAAAATTTGCTACCAAGTTCAGTTTTTTCCCCAGGTGTAAAAAAAAAAATCATCCCGTCATCCCAGAGTCCTATACTTCGCAACGCTCAGACTTAGAATGAACTTTAGTGACCCTAACATTCGCGGAACTCACTCGACGCCCTAGATCTATCATCATGTGTGTGACATACAAACGCGCAGGTTCAGTGACCAGTCACGACAAGACGCTTGTATAACTTTCTTTTCTTTTTACACAAGTGACAAATATTGATTTATTTTCATAGAGACACAGCTTTTGTAATGCACAAACTGCATGTTACAACAATGTTGTGTTATCAGACTTTTACCGCAAATTTCAGGGTGGTAGTGAAAGCGAAAGTAGATCTAGATTTTCCCGATCGAGCCTCGGCATCACTCGTACAATTCCGCTTGCCGCCATAGCTGCCTGTTCGCATGAAACATACTCTCAGACCGGGAAAAGCTGAATGATCGCGACCGACAAAATGAACTTAGGGACGTTATCGGATTTGGTTTTCAAATATTCGAGAACTTTTATGTATTTTCCCGGGTCTTTCCCGAGGCAATTTAAAGATTTCCTCAAATTTCCTTTTATTGCCGACGTTTATCCAACCATTGCCGTCGGAACAAAATTTTTCCGACAAAAATACGACTTATCCGACCTAAACAAAAATTTCCGACTTCCCTGGCCACCCTGTACAATGTATAAACGAGACTATCTTCTCAGACTGGACTAAATAAGTACCGTACTCTTTAATAACAATCTTAATGCCTCACTTTTCCAAACAGAGCACACAAGACTTTCCCCAGAGGGGGGAATAGGCTTTCATAACGCAAACACAATGCCATACCACTTATCAAGATGTTTGCTTTTCTGTTTCTATTCTTCCGTCATGCAATCAAGCAAATAAAAGTGACTACATCTATTGTATTGTGACTAAAATGCAACAAAAACGCAAGTTATCAAGGCCCCCGTTTAGTTTTCAAGTACCCTTCCACCCCTTTCCGATTCACATAAGCGGGGCCTCGTTCGTAGCGCCCGAGGCGACTGATGACTGATGACGTCACTCAGTGGAAATTTCCCAGCCGCCGGCCGTTCACCCAGTAAGCGCAAATGGCAATGCCGCTTTTTCCCTTAGTTACTCCCACATTTTTAAAGATTTCGCCAAAACCGCTCAACACAGAAGCATGAAATTTTAAGGGAATAAAGAAAAATGGTGTACAACGTATCAGTCAGTTTGACAAATCACAGCTCCGAAAAATCTTCAAAGCTCACCACATCAACCACTTTCGCAAACGTTTTCGACTTCTTCTAGGATGGGTACAATGTTGTCAAACTGCATACTTTACTATGAGATTGACCTCTTTTCTGATTGGCTGCCAAGTTTCATTCATATCCATTCACGAGAAGCGGCGTGAGAGCGAGTTGAAGACAACAACCTTTGCGTTAGTTCGTCCCACGAAACACCCCCGCGGCAGGGGCCAAAAATCGGCAGAACAAAATGCCCTCGGTGGGCATTGCTAAACACATTTCCTGTTCCTACGTCTGTCGACAGGTCCAGCACAATCAGACTAGTTTGTGACTCCAATGTGCAAAAATGAAAAACTTGTATGTGAGTAATACAAGCCAAATGACCCATCATGCCAGGCTTGAAATTTAAAAAAACAAAAAACAAGTAGGTGCAGGTCACTCCCATCAACACAAATACCAGGCTTCTAATAATATAAGGCAAACTGTATTTTTCATGTCAAGATAAAGTAGAGATTCTACCTTCCTGTTCTCGTGATCAATCATGACGTTGTGAGGCTTCACGTCCCGGTGCATGATGCCCATGCTGTGGCAGTAATCCAAAGCCTGGGGACATAACAAGCACAATAAGACACCTGGCCAACTCTCCATACTCACATCTGTTTGTCAGACTAAAGACATGCACATCCACATAATAAAGCTCATTTAGAGCTAGGTGTGATCTGCGATCAAGAGACAACTAGTGTAATACAGCATATATTAGGGCAAAAAGGGCTATCTTTACCATCAGATATATCATGCCTGGATACACATTTTTTTTAAAGTTCAGTGGTAGATCATTAGCTTCTTTTAAAAAGGCTAACAGTAAACAAATCGTACTCACCTTTAACAACTCATACAGGTAGAATCGTATATCATAGTCAATGAACGTCTGATACAGTTGCTGTGGAGGAGAAAGAAAAGAGCTCTTTGCGGGCTGGATCGTAATACTTGTATCTGTTCCACTAGGCACAAGAAATACATGCATGTCTTTACAACTGGGAACAAGAAATACATGTACGTCTTTACAACTTGCAATAAGAAATAAATGTGTATCTTTACAACTTGCTCCACAAACAAGCCTTAATACTTACCTTGAAGTCAGTGTTATTGACGTGCTCAAATATGAGGGCAGGTGTTCGAGACTGAAAGAAAAAAAGTGAAACAAATTTTGATGCAACAAATCAAAAGTACTAAATTCATCATTTACCATCTACATACCTGCCAACATTGCCTGTGCCCAAATCTGAAGTTCACACAAATTTTTGTCCGAAAATCTGTATTTGACCTAAAAAAATCTGTAGTGAACAATATTACCACTTACTGCATACTTAATTGGGCACCCTTATCAATATTTTGACCTACATCAAATTTATATGAGTGTGATTGCAACTTATTACAAATATAGAAAATGACAAAGAACGAAAAATATATATATATATATATATATATATATGACAAATATGAGAATTTCCAGATGCACTTACCCTATAGCAGTTGGTGCCGTTCCTGTCATATTCACAAATGCATACACACACACACACACAAACGAAACCAAAAAGAACAGAAGCAAAGAAGAAAAGAAAAAGAAAAAAAAGGGGGGGGGGGAGGGGGGAAGAGAAACCTAAGGCAGAACAATCTGTCTTATCTCTCAAATTAAAATCAGCGGGATCAGTAGTTTGACCAAAAAGTCGGTGATCTACAGATTTTTTTGGTCGGGTTGGCAGGTATGCATCTACAAGGCTGGGAGGCATCGTTGTGGTTTGTATACACTTGGAGCCAACACTTGCTGTAAAAATTACTGAAATCCCACAAGTAGTTTGTTTTGCTAGATCTACATGGGTCAGTATTGTGTAGCTAAAATAGAACATGACTCCTGCTTTTTTCCTACTATCATTTGAACAAAATCGATACAGTGGCAGGTGTTCTAATAATTACTTTAGAATCAGGGAACACAATTGAGAAGAAACTTAAAAAATCAGAAAACACTTTGAAAATACACAACAGCTCAGTCAGTCTATCAAGCAATTCTGATAAAACAAAGACACGTTGAAAATTAATTTATGACCAGTCATAATATCATAGTGCACCTTCATTTGTGTAACAAGTACAAACTGATAGTCACACCAATAGAGAGAGAGAAAAAAACAAAAACACATACTGTACTGCACGGAAAAGAGGCTAGTAAAAGTCAATGTCTTTTCCTATCATAGTGGCACACTTTTTCAATAGAATAGTTTAAATCTTCTATCATCAGCAACTGTTCACTGTTCACAGGTCAGAAAGCAAATATTTTCAGGAACGACTTTTAATAATCCATTAAATAAAATTTCAACTAATTGGATATCTTTTCTTGTTTTCTTCAGGGCTTAGAATTCAAATTTCAAAAATATCTCTCTCCCGCTCAGGCAACCGATGCCACAAAATAAGAAACTGCTCTACAATTTTTGACATAGTACACCTGAACAGCAGGCCAAGGTAATGATGGTATTTCTTAGGATTAATTCTCCGTGTTCAGGGAAAGTATGAGGATCCCACCCCCTCCCCCCTCCCAGGTAAAACAAGTTGGGACACATCCCACATGTTACAAATCAGCAAATATAAAAATATAAGCACTAAAAAAATGGATTATTCTCTTAGAATGTTCAGGTAGTAGCCACAACACTGCACACAAGTATTATTTGTTTAAACCTAGGGGGTGGGGATACAAAGAGAACTGATAAAGTCATTCTCACCACTGGGTCTTTCACAATTGCAACCAGTGTGATGACATTAGTGCCACCTCTGAGATTTTCCAAGATCTTGATTTCTCGTTTGATTTTCTTCTTTTTCACAGGCTGAAAAAAAAAGATAAATAAAATAAAGGACACGTCACACTTTCTACTATAACAGTTAACCTGTCTCTGTGGTTTTAATATTTTATGCATCCCACACAATTTAGTAAAATTTGATCTTTTTTTGGCATAATTTCTTATTATTTTCCTTTATCATTCTTTATTAAAATGAACAGAATCGCATAATTTTACATTTTTGGGCTCAGTCTGCATAATTTCAGAATTTTTCTTGAATATAACGACGGGTACAGGTTAACACAACTTAGCAATGACAATGAAAAATTAAAATTTTTACCCAAATTGCTTAAAAACAAGCTTAACTGATTCCGTCCATGATTTTTTCAGGCTCTCAACAGAATTATTTTTCCTTGTTCAGTTTTAGACCTGGGGTGCATCTATTTAATGCAATGCATTACTGTGAAGCTCTAAGTAACTCGAATAGGTATTGTCTTATACCAAAGTGATGGGAATCAATAGAGCAATCTGTTTATATCAATAACAAAGACCTATAATCTGTTCGTATTGTATTTTCCGTCTGACAAAAACGATTGAGGAAAAAAACAATTGCGCAACACCTCTTCGAAAATTTCAACTTACAGCATTTTTTCAGCTCTACAAGTCCTTATAATCCATTGGAGTCAACACAAATGCAAGAATTTCCCAAATTTAGTTGAATATCTTTCTTTGAAAGGCCTTTATCTTATACCAGGCTCCGTGTTATTTACCCTTAGATCCAGCCTACATATCTAATACTCATTTGAATGTAGGTCAGCCATTTGAATAATTTGAACAATGGTAAATTAATCTTACACAGCCGAGAGGTGAGGAGTGAGATACTACTGGGGAGCTGCTAGTGACGATTATACAACATGACCCTCAAAATTCTTTTTTAATTTTTTCCTTCTTCCATTGAAGTGATGTCCACAGCAATTTTCAACCATTATGTTGGAACAGAAACCAAACCCCATGCCATTACAAGGCCTGTCACTGTCAACCAAGATGCTAACCACTGATTCAGACGGGAATGCACTTACTTTCAATATCTTGATGACACACTTTTCATTGTTGGTGACATTAACTGCCTCAAACACTTCACTGTACTTTCCTCTGCCTAGTTTGCGCACAACTTGGTAGTCATCCTGGTTGCTAAAACACAAAACAAACAAAAAAGATAACAATTAAAAAATGACATGTTTAAAGCGATCAACCACAATTAAAGAACACAGGCACTGAGCGCTTTACAAATACAATAGCAACACAGAAACAGTACAGTCAAACTGCCTTAACAGAAACCTGTCTTAACGGAATCTCCCCGCTCCCCCCTTGATATATTCCTCTTTAATTACCTGTATAAAACGAAAACCTGTCCAACGCGGAAACGGAAAGAAAAATCCGCTCCCTTCCGAGGGTTTCACCTGTCTAAGACGGAAAATGCTTTGCCTGCTCAACCCTGATTTGAAACAAAACTCCTAAGTTTGGTTCTGCCGGCTCTAAACTAAACGCAATGGCCATGCCCCTGGGCGAGGAAGAGGAGTAGGGGTGCAATTTGGGGGTAGATGGGTAGATGTTACCCCATCATGTGAACCCTAAGCGATGCAGATGTTCAGAGTAATGTGGGTGTGAAACCTCACGACTTCCCGTGAGAGTGCTCCAGTAGCAAGCCACTTCGGAAACTTTCATGGGTAGCCAGAAGCCAGAGGTGTGAAATTAGATTGACCAATGCCCTGATCGTACAGCCAGCTGATAAAAGAGTTCCTCGAATGTTGTAACAAAGACGGCAGTGAGGGGTGGCATTGGTGGGTGGGGCTTAGGGTGGAATCAAAGGAGATGTTCAAACGTTTCTGTCATTAATAGGTCAAACAGTAGTCCTATGAAAGGCAAGCACTGGTGGTAATAGGATAAGTAAGACTGACGCATTTCATTTATCAGACAGGATTGTAATTGAGAGGTGTGAAGTTTTGACAACTGCTTGCCGATCAGACAAGCGATCCTAGATCCCACCGGCTGGGCCTTTGACCCCCCCCCCCCACCTTCATCTCCCCCTAAATTCCCCTAAGACGGAATTTTTTTCTGGCTCCTTTGTGATTCAGTCTTAAGCAGGTTCGACTGTATATTGTGTTCTTACTAAAAATCAATATTACTTTATAAAAACAAATCACATTTGCTGACTACACTTGAATAAATTAAATGATTAGAATATCTTTTTTCTGGGCAAAGTCTTCGAGTTCTTCAGACCATATACAAATGCTCTCTCACCCATTGTTTTAAGTTTCTTAGATGGTAAAAGTAATTTCTTTTTGTCTTTTTAAAAAATAACAATAAGGCCAATACAAATATCTTTGAAATAAAGTATGAAAAGCGTTCAAACACGCAGAACAAATTTACCAGCTCTCAGATTCATATAAAATCTAACACATCACACAATCAAAATGTCAAGCAAACTCTACAGGGGTGCTACACACCACAAATTAACACATTACACTCAAGGGTCCGGACGGGAAGTCCATTCCTAGATCCTAAGCAAGGGGAAAGAACCCACCTCCCGTGAATACAAGCGTTTAAAAAACATTTTTAAAAGGCCACCTCTATAGATTTCTCCGAACGTTCAGGAAAATAAACTTGAACTTATTTCTCTGAACGGTTTCCATTCTCGAGATTTGTTGATAATAAGCGAATGGAGTGGCCCGTGTGTGTGGAGTGGAGGGATTTTCTCTTTTTTTTTTTACATGAAGCGATTTTAGTTTTTGCTGGGTGACTAGAAATCTAAATGCAAAATAGGTTACTGCCAAGGTCAAGCAGTCTTGTTTTCTCGCAGTACCTTTTGAAAAAATTTTGACTTTCACTCCCGCACACAGAAACACTGCTTCGGGGGTCAAACTGCAGTACTGTTTGCTGCAGATCACACATAATCATAAAGCCACTAAAACTGTCGCAAATCAATTATTTTCAGGAAAATTTGAAATGTAACTGTAGAATATCAAATTATGGGTTAAAACGGGGGCATGCCCCCCTGTAACCCCCCCCCCCCAGATTTTCTTTTACCCCGATTGGTCCAAAGCACGTCTATCTCGATTAAAAATAATCAAATATGTCAAAAACTATTAATTTGCGACGGAAAGGAAGTTGATATTCGTGTTCAGCGCACCGATATGTAGTAGAAAATGGACAACTGGAAGCTAAGTTTGAGACGGGAAGGAAAGTAAAAAAATACCGTATTTTCAAATGAAGTATAGTCCGGGAACGTTGCCCCAACCACAACTAAGTATCTGAATATTCAGACATTTAAAAATCTCTAGCTCTAGAAATTGAATTCCATGCAAAAAATACTTTTTCAGTCCTCACAGAATGGCAGAATGAAAGGATGACGCTTAAATCTCGCAAATAGGCCTAACCCAAAAATCTCGAGATCAGAAACCGTTCTGAGAAATAGAGTTCAACTTTATTTTCCCGAACGTTCGGAGAAATAGTCACTTCGTTTTAAAAAATACTAAACAAATTTCAAAAATCCTGAAAAAATAAAAGTTAAGAAAAATGAATGTAGTTTCAGAAAAATATAGCTGTGCAGAGATGCCAACCTCAGAAAACCGAAATGAGTTTTGGGAAATATGAAAATGTCTATTTTCAGGGGAAAATGTGTATTCCCCACGACCGACCAACTAGTAAAATTAATAGCTCACCAGCACGAAAAAGGGAGCACACATGCGTACAATATACATGTATCCAGTCAACAACATGTCAGTGTTCAACGTCGTACTGGGGTCTTGTTTGACTTAAATATTTCAGTCTATTATATACCGGTAATATTTTCCTCTCATTATTATGTAAAAAATCAATCCTGCTTTGAGAGTTAGGAAGGGCCTAGAACAAAAATTTCGACTATCAAGAACCTTTCTGGGTGTCATTATTCATAATATGAACTGACAGACTCAAATTATTGCTCAAACTCAGAGAAAAGTGATAACTTGAATGGCTCAAGCAGACCCATGCACTGTGAGAGTTGTAACAACTGTGGTAGGGCAAGATGCAGTGACACACTGAAAATCTACCAGTCTTGAACAGAAAGCTACAACATACACTGTAGGTATAATTTACTATCACCCATTCAATAAAACGCGAACACATTATTTCAATATAACACAGACTTGCAAAGTATGAAGGGTCCCGATTCCGCACACGGCCTGCACCAACGCACGCTTTGCAGTAAGCTCTAATCAAAATTCTGAAATGTGCTTCCAAGTTCTTGTCCTCTGGTATTGCCTTCACACTCTCCCCCATAGTATCTTAAACCCCCAAAAGCTCAATAATCTCCTCCCCTATTCTGTAGTCCTATACTTCGCAAGGCCGTTACTCCCACCAAAGACGGTCTTTGCCCCCACGATGCCGCATTTATTTATGACGCGAATGCGCGCAGGTTCAGTGACCGGTCATGATGGCGAGCCCGACAATCTAAAAATCGGACGACGCTTGTATTTTCTTTTCTTTTCTTTCCACAAGTGAGAGCACAGAGGTGAGTCCGAGCATTGATTAAATTTTATTTGCACAGCGACATTGCGTTTATACTGCACAACCTGCATATCTAAAAATGTTGCGTTATCAGACAACTGCTGGCAAACTACTCGGTGGTAGGCCTAACGAAAGCAGATCTTGATTTTCCCGATCGAACATACGCTTTCGCCTGCCACCATAGCTGCCCATTTGCGTGAAAGTGAAAGCTGAACGAATATAATATCACGATCGCGACCGGCAAAAATGAACTTACTGACCTTATCGGACTTGGTTTTCAAATATTTCAGTTCTGCGACACTGGTACTATTTTGACAAAAGATGGGACTTGAGATAATTAGGTTTGGTTTACTCGCCCAAGCTCAATCTCGTATTTTTCGCATTCCAGGATGCGTATTCTTTCATGAAAAGTCGTATTTGCGTATTTTCGGCAAAAAATCGTACTAAAATACGTAAAATCGTACTGGTTGGCATTTCTGGCTGTGTATGCGCAAACTGTTAAAAACATTCTAAGTTTAGTTCATTCCGGGTGTTTGAACCGTCGCTCTCACCCTCAACCTCGAGGTTCGGCCCTAGATCTAAATTCTACATCTGATCAATCTGAATCGCCCCAAACTCTAGCTTCAACGTATTCATCAAAATCTGATCAATCTGATTTGTCATATGCTTGTTTTTGCTCAAATCCATCATTATTTCCTTTTTCAAACTCAATTGTGTTCCTTTTCAACAAGTCGAGACATCTTCGAAGTGTCGGAAATGCGATCACACTTTGATCGGCTCTAATACTAAAACTACTGACCCGAAAAATTCCATTCCCGTATCTAACGGAAGAAGAAACATTTTGTGATAACTATGTAAATCAAAACTCGGCCCTTCTAAAGGTGCTAGGTCGGTGCGGGTGGTTCCACACGAGTTAGGGTGGAGCGCGTAAGAAAATTCCCGAGCAATCCAGGGTGTAACGTGTTAAATAAGGGTCTGTAAAGTTTGCTGACTCAATAATAATAACAATGTTTAACAAAACGGAGTGGTTATTGGCCCACAGGGGCATATAAAATGTCCCCTAGAACATTTATTATTTGCCCACAAAATTGCGAGTTATCTCCCCTGAGTTTGCCCCCCCCAGCCCAAATCCACCAAAGATAAAAACGAAAATACAACAGCAAAATCCCAATTAAATATCAGAGAAATTATTTTATATACACTTCTCTTAGGCTTTTGAGTTAATCTCATATTTTACACCAGTGACATGACATTTTAAGTTTTCAGTTAGAATGAAAGTAAGACAATTTCTACTAGAATCTATAATATTAAGGAAGTAGATCTCTATTTAGAATGACTCCTAAACCAACAAAAAGATGACAAAAACTCACTTGTGTTATTAAGGATACAGAATGCTAAACGTAATAGCTGTATTTATTATTTCTTAACAATCTTAATAATCAAAAACTATTAAAGCTAGAGAATGCCTCAGGAAAACATTAAACAAGAAGGGATAAAGTGAGAAAAAATAAAAGAGAACAAGTTGGGACAACACCATGTTATGAAATACATTGAAAATCAACGCATTAAATGGCTCACGTGGGCCAATAAGCCCTAGCTTATTTGCCCATTTGGGCCAATAAGAGCAGCCTTAACAAAAAACAAGACACAAAATATCCCAAAAATACATACCCCCAGTCTACAACATGTGATTCATAGTCCCAGTATTCTCTGGGTTTGTGTGTGTTGATATCAGCGTATACTCTTGCTCTGCTTGGCAAAGGCATCTTGTGACTTGCAAAAGCTCGCCTGGCAAGCTTGGCCCCTGCCGGAATATATTTCCCTGAAAGATTTCTTCCTAGGTGCTCAAGTGTGAGAGAACTTAGGCGTCGAAGGATATCAATGGCGGTCTATCAGTAAAAATTGTATCTGAAAAAGAAAAGGAACTTTAATTAAACTTCAAGATTACTACAAGTGGATTTGACAGAGGTGATGTTTCGTTTAGACCCACTTTATTTTGATCAGTCCTACCTGAGATGGCTACTTTTCTCAACAATGGGTGGCAGTCTTAAGACAATTTCAACTGCAGATTTTTCTAAATTAAAAGTATGACGTATGGTAAGTCAAAAGTTAACTTAGGATAGCAGCCTCATTTCTTTCACAATTTATACTGAATTGGTCAAGTCTCTCGATTAGATAGACTACAAGATTATAGAATCTTGATATTGACTGACACAGATATAATATGACTGATTATTGAAAGGGAGTGTATACAGACCCGGTAACCGGGAACAAAGTCACAAAGTATACAGACCCGGAAAGGGAACTCTTTTGTGATTTCGGAAAGTTTCAGCGCCCTCTTGGCTCAGGGTAAAACTAGGCTCTTCTAGATCGACAGATATAAATCAGGGGGCTCTCGTGGCCTAGAGGTCAAGGTGTTGGCCTCTCATTCAAAGGTCCCGGGTTCGAATCCGGGTAGCGACCGAAAAATTTTCTTCTCTAAAATTGTCTCCTTTCACCTCCTTTCCTGCTCTCTAGCAATGTTCTGTTGTCTGCTTTCATTTCCACTTTCTGCCCTCACCCCCTTTGCCCCCTCCTCTGGGCTCCTAACTCTTTCTGCAGCCTATCTACTGCTACTCCTTGGCTCCTCCTAACTGCTGTCTTTCTGCCACACCCCTGATCTTCTGGTAGAAAAGATCTACACCTAGCCTTCTCGGACAAGGGTGAAAAATCTCGGAGGGCCCGTGTGCAAGTTGCGCACGTTAAAGATCCCTTGGTGGTCTAAAATCGATAAGAGTAGGCTTCGGCCGCCACCCGGGCAAAATTCAAAATTTCCTACCAACTGAAAATATTAGGTGTGTCCTGCGCACTCATATGACCTTATGCAGTTGCGAGCGCCGTAAAAAATTTGATCAAATTTGTTAAAGTCAGTCACAGTCTGCAACCCCATGTTTGACAGACAATAAAAGAGTACCAAAGAGCACTAAACATCACATTAACGGTGTACAATCACTATAACAAATATATGGAGCCTAATTTTTTTCAAGACTGTGAGATCATTACAAATCAGTATTTTATCGCCTCAAACACGATGATGTCGTTATTTTGACAAAAACACTGAGCGTTGACCCCCGCCGGCGCCGCACCAGGCCCCGCGGCGAGCGAGTCGGCTCTATACTGTAGTGTACCCCCCGTGCGGGGTCACATGCTTTCTGAGTCTCGCGGAAGGATTGATGAAAAATAATTCCAAGTTGATTACTTTATTCTAATAGGAAATAAGCTGATCTTTTATTTGATATATTTTTTAAGCCGGTGTTTCACATATGAGCCATTGCCAAAACGTGGGGAAAAACACACATATCTCACATTAGTGTGCATAAAATGTGATGCATTAGTATATATTCCTCTAAAACGTATACACACGTCAAATATAGGATGTAGAACCTGCATTAGCAGTTTCAGACCCCATGTCAGCTTTATAATCTTGAGTTTGTAAATTTTGTGCCAAAAATGTTTGTTTTTTAGTGATTCCTGGAGTGTCATTTTGAGCACACCAATGCAAACTTCCAAGAATGTCCAAAATTTAGTATTTTTGGGTGTGTTTTTTTTACGTGTGCTTTGATCCTATGCTATTTGTCATTGAGAAAGGTTAACTTGCTCAAGAAATCGGTTTATTTGTTTGCAAATAGACGAACAATTCATATTACTTGTGTGTCTGTCGTGTCGTCACGGACTAGGTGTTTCAGAAAACACCATTATTTTTCAGTAGAATCACCGTAGCTGGTGAAATCTTTTTGCCTATCGTCGTTTATTCAATACTTCAAAAGCCAAGATGCGCGAAAGGAACATCGGGTTCCTAGATCTACGATTTCGGTCGGCTGTTTAACATTCGCCGTTATTGTCGTCAATTTGCGACGTGCCGGAAGTCCGAATTTCGCCCACTTTTGTTTTGAACGGGTCATCAACAGTGCCCGGATATAATTGTTTTCTTGAGTGACTTTCCCTTACCCGCTTCCCCAGAACAACAGAAGCAACGGGGGAAACAGAAAAACGAAAGTAGTCATTGCCTTCAGCGTCGGGTGACGCACAAGAATTTTGCGTTGAATGTGACGTACTGGGCTGTTTTGTGTGTTTTTAGGCTACTCTGTTGAATATTTTAGTGAAATTGCGGTGTTTACACTGGATTCCTGGAACAAGAGTGTGATGTGTGAACAAACTTCGAGAGATGGATCATTTCTGTGGTTATAGATTTAGCTTTTGTGCTCAGTGATGACGTTTGGGGTGTCGTCATGCAGCCGTACAAGACTGACTGACGTACTAGAAATTACATTGTCCTAAGAGTAGGCAGTTTAGTGAAAATGTCAAATTTGTCTGATATGCTTTGAAATACTTTCATTTAAAAGCTCTTGCCTTCATAATCATAAAACAGTTTAAATTTTGTTGATATCTTTATTAGTTAAAAAGTTGTGGCGATTTTTCATGCCGAAAATCCGGCCAATTTCAGGCCACTTTTAACACTTTTTGTGACACAAAAATGCAACTTTACAACACAAATGACCATTACTCAACACAAAATGCATATTTTTTTTAAGCGTTGTACATCAGTTTGTTGGGAATTTTACACAGAATGCACACAACTACAAAACCCCTCTTTACAAAGTCACAGAAATATTTTTTGGGTACTTCTAGAGGTTCAGGGTGATAAAAAATCCCCCGCAAGGATAACCCGAAATGGACAAAATGGGCTATATCTTTGCTGCTAATGGTCATATTTAGACAAATCATACATCATTCTCTTTGTCTTTTTTCACTGTTCATAATTATTAAAGAGTTAAGCCAATTAAGTAATAATTTCCAATTTTTATGACCATTCTTAAGATTTCAAAACGTATTTTTAGTGTTTTCCTAACCGTTAAACGGATTCCGTAAAAAAAAAAAACCCAACCTCTTAATGACCGCCATAAGTCAGCTCCCTATCCTTCTTTTACAAAGTATTGTAACATACATTTGTGTGAAGCTATATTTTATGCTTTCAAGTGCATAAAAGAGCTTATAAATTCAAGAAAAATGCTCTTCGGAGACCTAGTTGTAGACCCACTGGAACATTTAATAAACTGCGGAAAGATGAAAAGGAAAAAAATAACAGTCATTTTATGATCTTCACACAAGTTGCACTTGCAATTTTTTGGACAAATTATATTTATAGTCTACCTCATTCTATTATTTTTTCACACATGTTTCTTCACTATTCATTACATTTTGAGTTATTATCAACTAGCAATTTTTATTGATGAGCATATTTTTTTTTTAAATATTGAGTCAGACTCATTGGCCATAAATTATATTTTTTTAAATGGCACAATTTGATAATGTAAATGTAAAAATATCCGGAAAATAACATTAAATTATTAGGTACTGAAAGTGAAAGACTGAGCAGAGGCTCAGATAAACTCTGTTCTCTACTACTATACTACTAACAAGTAAGTTTGCGCAAAACTGATTTAAGAAAAAGGTTGTCTCATAAAAGCAATTGTTAAAATGAGATTTATTATTAACTCTGAAATATATAGCTAGATGCTGAATCAATTAGAACTGTGCAATTCAAGCTTTATTTCAATTCCAAAGCCCAAAGGCATAAATAGTTAGATATGCTGGCTTTTTGACTGTTTCTAGCCTACTACTGCTGAATTCTAGATTTAGCTATCATTTGCACTATTCAAGAGCCAAATATGGTAAAATAAAAGCAATACTGTGAATTCTTTTGTCTGTCCGTTCATAATTTCATAGCCGCACGTATTATTATTATCCGGAGAAACAAGTAAAGCGCTAATAAATGCGATGCCGGCGCAATACGTTATCACAGTGTGCAGGGGAGAGCGGGGGCGTCGGGTCGCTGACCGGCCGATTCAGCGTTTCGGTTTTTTTAATGCATTTTTACGGGAAGCGCCGTAGTGTTGTGCGAAGTTCAACCTAAACAACTCGGGAGTCAAAAGAAACTAGAATGGATAATCTATAACTTCTGAAAAATTCATAAATATACAGCCAGTAGTTTTCATTTTATCGCGTTGTAAAAACTGCCTTGTTTTCAGATGCAAATATTTCCAGTTCTACTGAACCGATTTTCACGCGAAAACCGCCATTTTGAAGACCTTTCTTTTCTGTTTAAAAAGATGTATCGGGAGTGGTAGTGCAATTCGCAAAACGAAACAAAACTGTGTGTTGTTTAGACCCACCGCAGCGCGAGGCTTCACGGCCGGTCACAAAAATCTACGGGGCGTACCGCGGCCGATTAGCCCTGCCGCGAGCGCGTTCACTAAACTGCCTACTAAGAGCAAACATTTTTAAAGTAATGTGTGCTCTCTTTACTCAAACAAATAAACAAACATGTCCTTGTTTATCTGTTTAACTCAAAAATACACATTTGTTCTTTATTGGTATGATATACCTTTTTCCAATACATTGTGTCATCATTGTTATGTACAAGTAATATTTGTCATCATTGCTAATATCAATAAGTTTTCAACATATATTTCATACATGCAAGATTCATTTAGAAGCAAAATACGCCTTTATTGATCTGTGTATCTCTTGGTGCAAATTTGTTCTTTGTAGGCATGATTTTACCTTTTCCCAGTATGTTTTGCCATCACTGTATATATGTACGAGTACTGTTTGTCATAATTAGCAACATAATTGTGATCGTCCACTGTCTTTGATATGACCTGATATCTGTTTCAAAGCAAAAGAAACCTCCCCCTTTTTTTTTTAAATTCTTAAAGTGCGCTTTTCTCTCTGGAGGCAAGATTTTTGTCTTTTCCTGTACATTGTGTCATCATTGTTATGTACAAGTCATGTTTGTCATCACTGTTATGAACAGGTCAGCTCAATTGATTTTGTGCTTTTGCCTCATATTAGTTTTAAAATTGTTTTACATATGTGTTTTTCTGGTACTGAGGCTTTGATAACTGTATTTGTACAGCCTTCACTATTGTGATGTGTTGTCAATGATAATGTCCAACGTGTATCCTTTCTTGTACATAACAATGATGACATGTTCTGTGCACTGCGTCATTGTTACAAAGCTTGTCATTCATATTACCATTATGAATGGAGTTCATAGTGTACAAAGTCTTCGTTTACTAAACAAATGGAATTTAAAGTCCATAATTTGCCTTGCTGCTTATCTTTTTGTCATCACTGTTACATACAAGAAATACAGTGGTTGCCAAACCAATAGACCCATATCTCCAAAACCGTACGTCTCCTTGCTCTGACACTCTAGGAATATGAGCACTAAATGTCAATCTGTGACTGACAGAAAAGAGAGTCAAATTGGTAAAAATAAAAATTTTGCACCACTGAGTCTCAAGAGAGTCTCAAGTTTTGGCAATTGCTCGTGTAAAAAGTGATCTTTAAACATTTTGACAGTATTTTTAAAAGCTTTCTATTTAGACGTTAAAAAGGCCAAATACACACCACGCGAAAGCCCGTTTAAAGATCTACAGTTCTCCGCCAATGAAAAGACGGTATTTAATCATCCCTCATTCCGCGAAGCATTTGAATGCACCCGTGTCAATTTTTCAACCAGCCGACCACGCATTCCGACCGCGAGGGGCTTCGCTTTGGTCGGCGATTCTCCAGCTCCTACTAATCAAACATAAAAACAATTTACACCATTGTAACGAGGAAAAGCTGAACTTTTACGAGGTGTACGGCATTTGGTGTTTTATAGCGAAAGAGCAAAGAAACAGCGATCGGAATTACCCCGATTTCACCGATACCATGCGGTCAGAAGGCTGCGAGTGCCCGCGAGGCCGTGTTTACACTACCTAATTTAAATCGAGCAGTCACCCCCTCTCTCTCTCCTCTGTCTCTGTGTATCGCTCACACTCTCTTTTTCTCTGTCTTTCTTTCTCCCCTCCTATTTCCCACTTTATCTTTCTCTCGTTCCCTCCTGCCAACTGTGTCGTGACACATTTTGCTAGCACTTCCCTCTGCTCCCTCCTCTCTCTCTCTCACTCACTCACACACACACACTACCGGGTCTGGGCACTGAAACTTTCCGAAATCGCAAAAGAGTTCCCCAGGGCCTGTATACTTCGTGACTTTGTTCCCGGTTACCGGGTCTGTATACACTTGAAATGTCCCTCACTCAAAGTGACTAGATTCTAGCTCTAGAATTAGATATCTAGAGTAGAGATACTGATATTACTGATAAGATTCAATCAAGATCATGATAATGAATGTGATCAGTCACTGGAACCAAAAAATGCCTCACCTTTTCAAGTGGGGCAAAATCTAGATTAGAATTGTTTAGAATATATATGGCCTCCTTAGAATATAGAATGGGAGTGTGTATACAGACCCGGTAACCGAGAACAAAGTCACAAAGTATACAGACCCGGTAGGGGAACTCTTTTGTGATTTCGGAAAGTTCTATCTTTCTCTCGTGGCCACCTCTATTCTCACCCGGGATGAGAATAGTGCAGGCTAGTCTTTTGGCTATTCTCACCCGGTGCGCGTTCACCGAAAATGCTATAGCCTAGATCTAGGCCAACAAATTTTGCGTTCACCCTAAACCACAGAATTCTACACTGTTATAACAGAAAAATTGTAGAATTCTGTGCCGTGAACAAACGTGCCATTACAACTGTAGCCTCTAAAAGCGTACAATTTTGTATGTGGGCAGTGGAGAGAGAGAGAGAGAGAGAAAGAGACAGAGAGAGGAGTAGCGCGAGAACTTCCGGTCAAAACAAAATGGCGACCCGCGTAGTTCGGCTCGATTCGAAAAATTAAATAGGCGTAGCATCTTTGTAGACAACCAAATTAACTTACTTTTGTGTTTTAACATCATTTTTTAACTTTGTTTTGGTCAATTTGATCGTCCACACCGATAGACAGTATTCAGAAAGAGACAGAGAGAGAGAGAGAGAGAGGGGAGGAGTAGATCTTGCGAGAACTTCCGGGCAAAACAAAATGGCGACCCGCGTAGTTCGGCTCGATTCAAACAGTGAAATAGCCATAGCATCTTTGAAGACGATCAAATTAGCTTACTTTTGTGCTATAACGTATTTTTTTCTTGGCTTTTATCAATCTGATCATCCACACCGATAGACAGTATTCCAAAATGAGGAAAAGCAGGTTTCGCACCGGGTGAGAATAGCCTACGCTGGCACGTCTCACCCGGGGTGAGAGGTAGATCGTTTTTCTATTCTCACCCCGGATGAGAATAGCCACTTCCTTCTCTCGTTCCCTCCTGCCAACTGTGTCATACATTTTGCTAGCACTTCCCTCTGCTCTCTCCTCTCTCTCTCACTCACTCACTCACACACACACACACACACACACACACACACTACCGGGTATGGGCGCTGAAACTTTCTGAAATCGCAAAAGAGTTGGCGCTTTTTCGGTAGTTCCCACCCCGCAATTTTATTCACGGGATTGGGTCACAAGAGTAGGGGGGTTTCAGGGGGGCTTGCCCCCCTGACCTAATAAAAATAGGAAGGGGGGTTTCAGGGGGGCATGCCCCCCTGAATTTTACCATAATTTAATGTTTTGCAGTTGTTAGGTTTGATATCTTAGCTCACCGCGAATCAAACGTATAGATCTAGATTCTAGATCTAGAGATATAGATGTAGATTAGGTCAGGCTCAAATAAGGGGGGTGGGAACTACCGAAAAAGCACCAAAGAGTTCCCCTACCGGGCCTACTGAATACTTCGTGACTTTGTTCCCGGTTACCGGGTCTGTATACACTTCGATATAGAATAGATCTAGATTCTAGGCTAATAATAGTTGGCTTAATTTCAACTTTTCTGGATCAGTAAGCTTAGATCTAGATTTAGATCTAGAATCTAGATCTAGATCTAGTAGGGTATGGGTATCCATGAATTAATAGGAACCATTTATGAACAAAAGCACTTGAACTTGCCTGACTTGGCAGACATTACAAAACTTGGAATGTGAAACTACACTAACACAGTAGCCTAGACATGTTTTTTCTCTGGGTCTGGGGTATGGTGTATGGAATCACAACATTTTCACTGGCACCACTCTTGCTATGACTTCTGATGTATTAACATCTTTACACTCGTCACATTCCCGGCTCTGACTCTGCAGCGAAATTAGACAAATCTAGTCGTCAGTATGGACAAGAGAGTTCAGAGAGAACATTGCCTGGCCTGACCTGCTGAAATAAAGAATTGAATATGAAGAATGAATCACCTTTCAAATTTCAAGAGAAGTCAAATATAGACAATAGTGAAGTCGAAATAATGACAGCCGGATCACAGTCCACGCTTGTGATGCCCACAAGCATGGTATTCAAGTTGTAAACAGATCTATCACTTTGGGTCAGTTTGGGTTTACCCTACATTTTGTAGACTTTTCCGACAAGATGGCGACCGTAACTCTCCCTTGACAAAACGAGGCTGTTGCAAGTCACTTCCTGTGCTCCAGTTATGCCCCCTGCTTCTTTTTCTGTTAAAGTTCTTAACTTCTTGTGACAACAAAACAATTATTTATTATATTATTATTAACACCATGCCGGCATTTTCCTTTATGATCATTATAATAATAATATAGGATTCAGAAGCAGATTCCAACTACACTAGCCTAATAATTGTTACATTTTGTACTATTATAATTCATTTTGAGAAAAAGGAATGGAACTTTCGTATACGTCAACTATTTTATTTTTATACATTAGAATGAAATAAGGAAAATGACGTAATTGCGACTGTTTACAGAGTTCTTGCCGCTGCCAGTGCGAGCAGCCATGGTTTTAATTTTCCATGTGTGTGTGTGTGTGTAGTGTGTGTGTGTGTGTGTGTGTGTGTGTGTTTTGTTGCCTATGTGAGCGTGCTGATATGCTAATGTGTGTGTCTGTGTGTTTTGATTTACATATAATTGTGCGTGTGTGTGTGTGTGTGTGTGAGTGAGAGAGACAGAGACAGACACAGAGAGAGAGAGAGAGAGAGCAGAGAGAAAGACAGAGAGAGAGAAAGAAAGAGAGGGAGAGAAATGTGTCGTATACTGTTCTCCTCGCTGTGTTTTGGCTGATCGGCGTAGAAAGAAGCACCCTAGCTTTAACAGTGCAGTTGAGTGTAGGCCCGAGGCCTTAATTTTAAAAAATCTAGCTTAAAAAGTCGAACAGAAAATGCATCTTTTTACAGACTAGACAGAACAAATTATAGGAAATACATTCGTTAATATTTATATA